TAAATGGTTTAAAACTGTTTTATGGTCGATTTTTAGCTCCTGGGCGACTAAAAATTATACACTAAAATGGTTTTGCAACCCTTAACTGTTAATGATTTGAGCATAACTTAGCTGGTTGGAGAGTTTAAATATCTAGAGAACATGGTTTGTGTTGCGAGGACGTTTCGTCCCATTTCTTAAGGCTCGGGCAGCTCAGCGGCCCATGGAAGCATAACACGCAAGAAATTTATATTCGCAGAAACTTTTTATTTCTTTTATAATTATTTTATAATCCCTAATTCTAAGTCTAACCACGACTCACTTCCTCTCCGATCGATAGTCTAGCTTCGACTTCAAAACACGACGCCTACTCTCGACTCTAAAATACGACTTCTCCACTTGGGACTCTACTCTCGACTAACTCAACTAAAACTAAGAGTAGCCTATTCTACCCTATTCTATTCTTATGCTATTCCTATCCTATCTTAATCTGTTCTTATACTATTTCTATCCTACCTTAACCTAGCACTCCCTTCCCCTCACCAGACACGGAGTATCCGTGAGGCCAAAACGGTGGGCCCTCACAGTGTAAAACTCACAGTGTAGTCTATAGTTGCGCTAAAATATATAGCTTAAAGAATAATTACAAAAATGGATCTGGGAGCAAAGGCATATGTTTATCGTTAGAGATATACCTAAATGAAGTATCGCTTGGCCAACAGGAGGAAGTTCATGTGTACTAAACTATAACGTATAACATATTAAAATATATGAATATGGGTACGACGCAATGACGATTAAAAATACAGAAAATTAAGTGTAAACGTATCGTACATTACAAGATTAGTTTTTTTGAGCATTAATTCAAATCTCCCCTTCTAGATGGAAAAATCTAAGGATTTGTATGTTGATGCATTGAAGATGAGCTTGGACCTACAGATCTACAGTGCATAGACAAGTGAAGTAAGTATAGTAAAAAGGTGAGGAAAATTCGCGTCCGCGTTTTCACCCCACATATTTTTTCGTTTGGGGATGCCAGAATTATGTTAGGTTTAAGCTACAAGCAGCAGGTAGGTTAAGCTGTAGGCAATAGGCTGCAAGATTAAGCCTGGATAAGCCAAGCCAGCATAGCCAGGATTAAATCAACTGTAAGGATGTATGATCAAAAGTGTGAAGGTATGGGATTTATTTCATTTGTATCGCAGTGTGCTACTGCGGTTTTGTCCCTAATCTGCTCGGCTGCAGAACGCCAAGTCTATCCGTCTCATATAGTGCCAATAGAACTCGGCAAGAGACGGTCCCTAATTTCTGGAGTTTAGGCGGATTGCACGCCTTATGTTCATGAGCGAATAAAACGCTTGATTTGAATTGCTGTCAAACAATTAACTTCTTTATTTGCCAGGTGCATTATTTATACTTAAATCTATAGGTGATTTTATGCTAACGTTATCAATTATTTTAATTAGGGCGCCTGGCATCGTATTGCATTTCGTAATGCAATACCCAGCCAGTTGAAGTGCGACAAAATTTTTGTTTTACTTTTTTGCTACAGAATTATGCAAATTCAGCATAATTCTGTCGCACTTCAAAGTGGTTGCTTACGACGGTATGGGATCACACTACACAACACTACAGCATCTCAACTGACGGCAGCTGACACTCATTACCAGCTGAGATCCGGTAAAATTAAGAGCGTCAAATCTTTCTAGAAGCCAAAAGGGTGACTTCCGCATTGAAGGTCTTCTGGTGTAGGAGTACGATTTGAGAAAACATATCACATGCCAAGGTCTTTAGAGCTTTTTGTTTTAATCCTCGTGCGATGAAGTTTAGTTTTTTATATTCGTTTTTTTTATTTACTTAATAATCTTCCTAAATGAAAGAAACAAAATATTTAACAAGGAACTAAAAATACTACGCGGAATGATATTATAAGTATGAATTATCTGTAAGAAAACCATAAGTCCCTAACGATGTGTATGTTCTTTATAAGTGAATGTTAATTCATACAACATTGAATTCATATGAAATGGATAGTCTTCGGTATTTTATGAGGTGTGATAATCGTTAACTTTGAAAGTAAATCGAAGCTAGAAACAGTATATCAATGCGAAATGAGTATTACATATAATATTAGTTTGGGGAAAAATAAATCCATTATTTTTTCGGTAGATGGCTGCACTGATAGATTTCTCGTAAAGTATCGATCAAACAATTTCCGATACTGTACATTGATATACTGTACATTTCGCAGTAAAAAAAATTCTCTTGCTGTTTTTTGTTTGGTGCAGTCAGTTGTGAGTTACAGCGTGTTAAAAATGGAAGTGAACAAAGAGAAAATTCGGTACATTTTACAGTTTTTGATCTCTACAGTCAACAACTAGACCGTTTGAAGATAGCGATTGACCAGAAACGGCCAGAATTGGCCAACAGGAGAGGTGTCGTGTTTTACCAGGACAATGCTAGGCCACACATATCTACAGTGACTCGCCAGAAACTTCGGGAGCTTGGTTGGGAAGTTTTAATGCATCCGCCATACAGTCCGGACTTGGCACCAAGCGATTATCATCTTTTTCTTGCATTGCAAAATTTTTTTAATAATAAAAAATTGGAATCTAGGGAGGATTGTGAAAATCGCCTACTAGAGTTTTTTGCAAATAGAGACCAGGACTTCTATGAGAGAGGCATTTTGAAGTTACCTTTAAAATGGCAACAAATCATACAACAAAACGGTGCATATTTGACCCAAATCGGATAATCTGAAGCATGTTAAATAAAGTCCCGAAGTTCATATAAAAATAATGGATTTCTTTTTCCCCAAACTAATATATTCCAATTCGGGTTTTCAATTATAAATTATTACAATGGCTTTGGCAACCTGTGGAAATAATTTCACCTGTTGCGTTATATGGTCCATGATTTGTAGCTCTGGCTTATTCGGATCCATAGGATTTTAACGTACTACTACTGAATAACGGACAGCTATGGTCGATGCCTTAGCTAAAGCCAAGGAAGCGTCACGAATTAATACCACACGTACAAACATCATAGTGCCATAAATAAAAGCAGAATTCTTCGGTGGTATATAGGTACCATCGAATAACACTTCTTGGTTCTTCATCAATATATGATTTATCGGCACGCGCACACTTTTAAAACCTAAATAACCATTGTTACTCGATTTCATCCGCAACTTTGGTCCAATTTTGGTCCGGGCACGGGCATATGAGTTTCCTCGTCGCGTATTTGAACAAAAAACGGAGTCAAACTTCGCAATTTCCGCAAAGTGTACAGTTGAGCAACTGCCACCGCATAGTTGGCTGTATGGCCTCCTTAAAATGGGCAAGGAATTTTCAAATAACGTTTTCAAGATTATACTAACCAAAAAAAACTTACAGCCGCCTGGCCACCATTTATAAGCCGTTAATGTCGGTGAATTTAAAACGAATTCTTGAGTCTTTTCGACATAATTAACGCGCGTCTCCAGACCTCGCAAGAAGGTCCCACGGTCTAACTCGCACAAGTGGTTTGCTGTATAACAAATGTAAATGATCAAAGAAATTTTTTTAACGGAAAAAGTGATAAAACGACGGAAAGCCAAAAATAATAAACGCCAAAATATAAACGCGTAGCAGCAATCTCACTAAAAACGCTGTAGGGAAGGCATCTAGGAATACGGCTTTCATCAAATTTTAATTTTATGAAAATGAATATGTCTTGGCTTGTTAGCGTGCCCGTTAAAAGCAATTGCTCACCTGTGTTAGTGGTTAAGGGTTCGCTAATGGCTGCTAACAATTCCCAAGTTCTAATTTCACATTTTATTTCTTATGAAAATCTTTAAATCTTTTTACCTATGCAGGTCATATATCAAATTTTGCTTGACTGGGTGCGTAATGCGGACGATGAGAACAGTACGGTTGCTTATATAACAAAATTGCTTTGGACATGTATGAGGTAATTGAATGTTTCATGACAAATTCGTTTTTCGTTGCTCTACAAGCTATGAACCGAGAATCAATGTAAATTTCTATGTTTTTTTAGGAATTCTCTGGTCAATTAAATGCTAAATATCCCTTACTTGCAAAAGACATACCCACGGGTCGCCAAGAATTAGTGGAAATTATTGACAGCAGCGATGAAGAGGATGCCACTGAGATGGCTAAAAGTGCGGAAGAAAATTCAAAGCCTAGCTTTTCCAAAAACGATTTTTTACTTATCGAAAATGAATTAGATAGGACTATCAACAACGTTTTAAATAAGGTCGATATGCAAAGTCAACTGACTTGGTCGAAAACTATACTCACCTACATTTGAAGCATCTGGAAGTGCACAGAAAACGACACGCGATTATTGCTGATTCTTTAGGCCATATTTACCCTAAATCAGAAGAAGTTAACTGTTTTGAAATTTTACAATGAATCCAAATATGAGTGTGCACTCCATTCATTTGTGGTATTTCTTGCGGCTCTTGTTATGCCTAAACAAGAAAAACTTCGTTTACTCACCAATTTCTCATCTAATGAAAACTTAGCCTTTCGCGAAAAAATAACAATTTATGCAGTCATTAACTGACTTTTTGAATGCATAGCGTGGCTACTACCAAAATGCATTGCGTTAATCAATGGATCCCGCGTTAGGCTACCCGCCGAATTATTCTGCTGCAAAGTATATGCCGCTCCTCTCAACGTGTTCAGTAAGGACTCTTTCATTGGAGCAAAAAGACTCTTCACTTTCGATATATTGTAAATTTTTTCACTTTGCACTGAACTGCTGGATTCTGAGACATCTGTTCGGCCATTTGCTGGCCAGATTGTTGCGGCGAAGACTGCCGAAGCGGCGACACTCCTGATTGCATCATTGAATTCGAGGGACCGACGCCCGAACCGAGAAGGAGGAAGAATTGAACTGTAAAATATTTGACTACCCGCAAATTATATGAGCAAGACGAAGAATTCAATTGTAATACATTTGACCAGCAAGATGACGGCCCGTAAATTATATGAACAAGAGGAAAAATTGAACTGTAAAATATTTGACGATCTGTAAATTATATGAGCAAGAGGAAGAATTGAATTGTAATACATTTGACCAGCAAGATGACGACTCGTAAATTATATGAGGAAGAGGAAGAATTATTGTGTAAACTTTACTTGTGGAATTGATATTTAATTTAAGCTAAAATTTTAATGTTGATGCAGAGGTTGGTATGGTATCCGAAATTTTAACAAATACAGAGGCTATTTCTGTTTTATATGTGGGTGTGACAGCTTGGTTTGGTATCTACCTTACCGCTCAGCTAGGTGCCTTAACTGTGGTGCCTTAACTGCCGATGGCGGTGGCGCTAACAAGCGTGTCCTGGTTTTAGGTGGTTGGGGTGCTGTTGGTTCTTTAGCTACTCAAATCCTGAGAACTCAAGGTATTCAAGTCCTAGCAATCTGTACCGAAAATGCCATAGAATTAGTACAAAATCTGGGTGCTGATTGTGTGATCGATTACCGTAATCTTTCAAAAATGGCTACTCTTCGTAATTTTGCGCCTTATGATTTAGTGCTTGATTGTTGGGGTCAGGGATCAGAAACTGCGGAGGTTTTAGACTTTGAATACGATCAGAAGTTACATTTTCCTCACCGTTACTGAGAATCATCGATAGTTGCTATAAGTTTGAAGAATTGCCGGAAGCTTTGTGCTTGCGTGGTAAACTTGTAGTCACTCTAGACTAAATATTAATTTTGAAAAGTTCTAAGTAAATGCATTGCATTAATTCACTTTGGATTGAAGTATTGGTAGCATTAAGTAAATTATTATTTTATATTGTTCTATGGCCCATTATCAAAGACTACACTGAGCTGATGTTTTATGGCAAAAAAAAAAAAAAAAACAGAAAAAGACGAAAACGTCGTCACACGACTTTTGAAAAGAAAGCATTACATGCGAAGCGGTTCAAAAAGTAATCCGATCCGAAAGCTAGCGTTCGTGCACGGTCCAAATGCGTGGCGGGTGGACTAACTTAGATCTATCCAGAATTACTTTCGGGCTCAATCTCAAATCCTTCTTCTTCATTGTATTCTAACTGGTTCTTCATGATTCTTGCCATGTTTTCAGTTCGAGATAATTCAGGATCTTAAAAATTAGAAAGATTTCTTGTAGACTACTGGTTCTTCATGATTCTTGCCATGTTTTCAGTTCGAGATAATTCAGGATCTTAAAAATTAGAAAGATTTCTTGTAGACTATTGAACTCGTTTAAATTTTCTCATGTATAACTTCGCAAAACTATTAACTATTAACTTTACATAGAGTCCAAAAGTTTGCTATATCTTTTTTATTGGAAATTTGTTTACAACAATAACACGCAACTGTTCTACAATGACCAAATGGTGCGTGACAGATTCTAAAGTGCGACTTTGAGAGAATACGATGATTTGGGCGTAGGAGTTTGATGAAGAGCCCTAATTTTTACGAACCTTATTTTTTATGCCCAATAATACTTCAAGATTAAAATTGCTTTTAACGCCTCCTACTCAACCTCATCACAGATGTCTCTAAAAGGTATCTTCGTCGTCGGGCCTACAATCCAAAAAGAATCATCCGTGCTGCTATCGCGTTTTCGACAATGTTCTGATATAATGAAGATGTACAATCAAGTGCATAACCCTAAGTACCAATTTACTTTGTGGGGATATTCTCAGCAAGAGGAAATTAGAACCTATCAACAAAACACCGTCACTTAAGGGACGCCTTTAGCATCATCTGCCGCTGCATTGTTTGCATTACCTGGCTGACAAATACGCTGACAAATTCCCAGTTGGGACAACAGCAATTACATCTTAGGTTCATGTAAATGATATTCTCTGTGGCATCGAAACTATAAAAGGATTCGCTGAACTCAGGCAACAGATGACCAAAATATTATAAAGGGGATGCTTTAAATTAGATAAACGGCGCTCAAATTACGAAGGCCTTCGTCACGATAAAACCACAAAATATTTTAATTTAAAAGATTCGTCAGCAACGGATGTCCTGGGATAATCAAAACGATTTTTTTATCTTCAATAAAATCCAAAAGCGAAGAGGAAGTTTCAAAACGCATCTCTTTGCCTTTGTTTCATCGTTCTGGGATCCTCTAAGACTTTTGACGTGGCTCAATGAAAAAATCAAAATTTTACTTCAAGAATTATGGATCTTCAAAATTGGCTGGGGTGCCTCTTCCTCAGAAGCTGGTTGTCGTTTGTGAGTTATCTTTAATCTTTGTCATCTCAGCCGCCGTCTTTACATTAGAGTAAAAATTAGCTGAGTTAAAACTTATTGGCTGCCATATATTGCTAAATCAACATCAAAATCCTAAAGGATACAAAATTACTTCAAATTCCAATTGTGAACTGAAGCAAAGTTCTTCAATACTTTCTTTATTTATAGACAACAAGCTCTATGAAATCCAGGAGCCCACCAATGGATGGAGGCCGTTTAAAATTAGGTGATTTACGAAGACTCTGCCGCAATATTGTAAACTCTTGCTGACAATGCACATGCTATCGAAAAACTGCTTCAACAAATGATGTCAAACATGCCTGCAGATCAACTTAAACCTTCAAGAGTATTCGCTGATGTGTCGTTTTGTAAACTTGTAAACACTTATCTTTGCGTACGATTGATTGGGCGACCGGGCTTGCGAGTTGTTATATTTACGACACGTGATATATTTTGCGGCAACGGCGCCAACCTTGTAGGGACAAACTCGAAGTTGACGGAATTGAAAGCGTTCATATTTGATGACCAGAATCGAAATTATATTGCCACTTTCTGTTCTAATGAATTTATTAATTGTTGATTTATTTCCGCCTGGGCGTCCTACTTTGGTGACCTGTGACCGGCCTCTATTAAATCAATCAAGGCTCATATCAATTGGACGCTAACATTCGCCTAATCTATGAAGAAATTGTCACAACCATAATCGAAATTGATCCGTTCCTGAGTTTAAGGCCAATCTCACCGCTCCCATCTGACTCTAACAATTTTAAGGCACTTACCGCTTGCCACATCATAACCGGCTGCACATTGTGAGTATATAAGTGTACAAACGAATGTACAACTGTACTAAACGAAGTGGCGTAGCTTACATTATGGTCGGCGTTGCCTGACCATAATTTTTTTATTTAATTACTATCATGAAGAAATTTTCATCACATAAACATTAAATATTAGGCCTTTTTAGTCTATAGGATTTAGGTTTCAGGAGAACTTTCATATGCGGTCCAAATTCGATGATTTCTTTGTCAATTTACTATTAGGAACCAATTTTTACCATGAAAGATTGAAAATTCGATCTTGTAACGTTACTCAGGGTTTTCCCCTCTATAACAGGGAAATACTCAAGGCTAATCCAAGGTGTTTGTACAAGAAAATATATTGTTGATTAAGAAGACCTTCAATATTCTATTTGCTTCGTTTGTTTTACTTTTCTTTCTCTTAAGAATGTGGTAGATTTTTATATTACAATCGCTCAGAAGAAGAATAAATTGGACATATAAGCCACAAATCTATTGGCTTAGTCCATCTGTGTTCAACATACCAAAAAAAAAGAAAAAAAAAAGAAGAATAAATGAATAGGAAACAAAACAAGTGCGTAGAAAGGAAATCAGCAGGGCAAGTGTGTGATCCAAAGTATTTTCAATTACGTTTGCCCTTGGGTAAAACACATCACTGTACTAAATTCCATCAAAATTTTCAAAAACTGCGACCTGTAGCTTAAACACAAATTTACATGACGAATATACAGGGTTAGATCAATTCAGATAATGCTTTTGAATTGATCGGTATCATAAAAGGTGGGTTCTTCCTGAGCCCTGCTGCGTGTTACATGCTGTACCAGAAATGGCGTAGGGTATAATAATTGTCCAAGTCTAATTAAGAATAGCCCCCGTTGGCCGACGGGTGAAGCAGGAACAAATGCGATTGACGTGGCTTAACGTGGCTTCATTGAACATCAGTAAAACTTCTGGTACACTTATTGAGATTGAGTTATCATTTTTCTTTCCTTTTCTGTATCTGTCATGTGAACTTTTTAACTTTCTAATTTATTAAATCAAATAAGTCAATATTTATCGATCTCTACTATGGTCTTACGCCTTATACCTGGCATTCTTTTCTAATGCATATATTTGATGCTCAGTGTAATGGAAACTTTAAGTGATCCAGCCATATAAATAGACTCCTCGGATGTCAAGTAATTGTTTACCTTTTTTTCCATTTCGGAAATATCCTAATGGTACAACGCAAACATATTTTGCTTTACATTGTGTTCGCATCAGTTACTTTCGGGATTCGCTTGTGGTTAAAAAAAAAAATTATATTATATGTTCTGACCGAAGCTTTATATGATTTCTTGCCGAAGGTAGAAGTTATTCCTTTACCATAATTCTTTCATCGAGCAAATTGGATCTAAAAATCAAATGAGAAATTCGATGATTTCTACGTTTCGATTTACGAATAATATGCAGACTACAGCAACCAGTACCAGAATCCCACTTGTCGAATGTGGGAATATTTCCTTTAGAACATAAAGATCAGATTAATGATTTCTTAGCCCAGTTTTCTCAAGCGCCTATATATTAGTTGACGAAGTAACAAAAGAAAACGAGTTAAATATGGTGAAAGACGAGATTGCTGGAATTGCCGTCAGTCGGGGCATTGATATTAAAATTGTTTGGCAGAAAGATCGATTTTCTGTTATGGTTGCGATACACGTATAAACCTAACTGCATTAGGTGTTCTAAACGTCTATGCGAACCGATCTCCAACATGTAGACAATAATTTAAAATTGTATTCCGAAGAGAGTAAATCAGATTTTTCAAATGCACGTTAAAGAAATAAAAACCTCAACAAAATCTTCACATATGCATATTAATTAAAATCTTGCACATAAAAATCCCTCGATTAGGCCTAAAATAAATTTAAGACACGCGTAACGAAGCGTATAGAACCATTCGTAAATTATCTTGTGGGAAAACCCTGTTATCCGGCGAGTTTAAAAAAAAATAAAAAATCAATGAAATGAACACAAAGCTTGTAGAGCGTGCGAAACAAAAGATAAAATATGTAGAAATCATATTTATAAAACACAAGCAAATCCACATAACGCTTAATGATAAATACAGTGCAAGCACAACACGGCAATAACACCTACCAAGGTATTTAAAACTAAATTTCCCATGGCGTCATCGAGCACAACGTGGGTATGTCGAATATGAAAAAAATCTATACATGCATAAAATACATGCTAAATTACGTACCCATAAATTCGTCATACGTACACAATTTGTACGGGAATTAGCTGTATTTTGTTATAATATGACAATTCGTTTGCACAGATTGCATGACAAAAAGTTAAGCAAGAAGTGCTTTATCTCTGTTCAACATACCAAAAAAAAAAGTGCATTGGAAAGTTGTGGGTCTTGTTAAAGACATTATTAAAGTGAAGTAAAGTGAGAAGTTAACATTATAAACCGGGCGGAAATTTTGTAAAAGAAGCGTCACATCACCCAAGGAATATCACCAACAACTCCGACCAACTTTGAAATTTATGATCAGCCAACATCAGTTATACTGGCAATGGCAATAGAAAACACCACTTTCACGTC